CTGAAATAGGCCTTCATATGGCAGAACTGGAAAGGGAGGAAGGAAGCACCTTGCAGAGGGGAGACTGAAAACAGCGATTTTTGTTTGATTTTAATCCTCGGTTGCTGATGTGTCCATGAGGTCCCTTCCTGCCTGTATGTGCTGGCTCTCTTGCAGGGTCAGGGCTGTTTGTGTAGCAGATTGCTTTGTTGAAGAGTGGCCATGGAATTCCAGAGGAGTTGTCAGCACACATATATCAATTATTCTCCAGAATGTTCCCCGATGTGCAGTGATTGATATGGAGATCACTGGAACATGATTCCCTCATACTGCCAGCTTTTGGAAGGCTCAGCCCTGGTGCTGTGCGTGTGCTGTGGGTCTGGTGCTCGCCAGAAGGAGAAAAGAGTTGCTGTGACCCCTCTCTGTGTGATACACCGTGGCAGAAAGCGATGTCGTGTCTCCATTTGAGCCCTGCTCCCAGCCTGTGCTCGCATCCTGAGCAGCTGGGAAAGCTGCTCTTCCCCTTTGCTTGTTTGGGATGGAAATACATTATGCACTTGAGTTATGAATAAAAGATCAAGGGCAAATCTGTGTAATGCTTTACTCTGTGAACAAACCCGCCTTCATGGCACTCACGCTCTTTGCTGGAAGATCCTTTCTCAGGGACACTCAGCCATTTAGAGTTGCTTTATGCTTTTTCTTCAAAGGGAAAGATTTGTTAGGGCTTCCCATTCGCACGTACTGCTGGATTTGAGCAGATGAGAATTTCACTGTGTGTAATTCACACTGCTGGATCAGGGGATAATCTCTGATTTAGCTGGGTAGCACTTGTTCTTGCCTGGCTTGCCTTGCAGGGAGCTGTGGAGCTGGCTGATGGGAAGGATCCAGCCCTGCTGGAGAGGTGTCTGGGTTAGGGGGCTGGAACTGGCAGGAGTCTGGGACTGGCTCCTGCCAGGCTCTGCTCTTTGCCGTGGGTTGGGGCTGGATCGGCAGTCCTGTCTGGGAGCACCGGTGCAGGACACGGTTTCTGCCTCTCAGGAAAACCACCGGCCCTCGTGATAGACCCAGTGCAGACATTCCTTGTTCCTCTGCCATGCCACCCTTCTCAGAAACTGCCCTCTTCTCGCTGGCTTGATGGAGTTCTGCCCTGGGAAACATTGCTGGGCTCAGTGCTCAGACACGAGCCTGCTGAGAAGCACAGAACGTTACAGGGAACAGGGCTGAAGGATCCTTAGGTGGCACCTTGAAGTTATTCCTGAATCAAAGTGCAAGCCTGGAACTGGAAGTGCTGTTCTTCTTTCTTCCTTTTTTACTTTAACTATTGTGTGTAAAGACCACACAGAGCGATGAAAGTTCTCAAGTGGCTTTTTAGGTGGAATTTTCTATCCAAAATCCAACTTGAATGTATTTTTTCCTCAGAATTACTACTTCAGTTTCTGCTTCTTTCAGTTGCTCCTTCTCCAGGCACCTCAAAGCTCTTGTGTTGTTGCTGATAAACAGCTTCCATGTTTCTCACTATGTGTGGGCGACTTGATTGGAATTTCCAGCCTGTGTGTTTCCTCTGGAGATGGGAGGTGATACACACACACTCACTCTGCTACTCCAGCCCAGGTAACACTGCCCTTTCTTTCTAGCACTCACTGCTGCTGCTTTTCAGACACCTATTTCTAACACCCACCAAATTCAATAAAGTCACTTGTTCCATGATTTCCTGAAATGCCAATTTAGCACTTTGTCATAAGGAATGACCTCAGACCTGTGAATGATGTCACAGCATTCATGGATCGGCTTCCAGCACAGCTATGCTGGGGCTTTTGGAACACACACTTTAGGCTCAGGCTAAATTTTCCCTTGCCTGTGCTGAAGGTTATGAAGGCATCTGTCAGAAGTGAGAAGTGCTTCATCCTCCTCCCTTTGATGGATCCTGCTTTTCTCTTCCATCAGAACTGTGGTTGCTCCTTGGTGTGGTCCTGACACATATTTTACATTTAGGTCACCATGTATTTGGCCCAGATTTTAAAGTTTCACTCTGTCAAGCTGCATTTTGATGGATTTGGCCCATGGCTTGTATTTAGCTGGGGAGCATTACGTGATGCTTTTACTCCTGAAGTCATTTCATCAAAGCAAATTGTGTTACAGTGAAATGATTGGAATGTCCCATGTGAAGAAATAAAAGCAGGTGCTGAATTGCTTTCATTACTATTTGAAAAGTGCAGTTGCATTTCTAAAGCTGTTGTGATTAAAATTCTATGGGTTTTGTTCTTTTCAAAGGGCAATTCTGATGATAATGTTTCAAAAAGACTTTGAGCTTAGAGCTGCGTCTCCTGGCTAATCACAGGGAATCCGTGCCTGCTGCTCGTTAGAGCTTGTCA